ATCATTATTAAAGGCTGGGGGTAAAGAATTTGAACACAGAATAAACTCTCCATGCCCTAACTTTAAGTCAAGTTTTCAGATAAATGGAACCATAATCACAGTCCAAGGGGTGACCATAAGATCACTAAGAATATCTTCCATTTTCAGTTAATCCCCACACTATGCTAGATCTCCACCATCCTGCATATGAAGAGACAATATTGACAACACTGTCCTAATTAGCTTACCACCTAGACCATCATCTGTTCCATTTGATGTTCCAAGTGCTTAATGTTACCCAAAATGGGATTGTGAAAATTGTTCCATTTATTTTAAGGCCCTTGTTACAAGTTCATCTTGTTTCCTACTTGGGAGATATTCAGTGATCATTTGTCATTATCTTGACAATGGGTGCGTGGTTCCTAGACGACGTGATATCCACTTTTTGTGTGTTATTACCAAAACAGCTGTTTCCTCTTACTCTGGCTTTTATGATTGTTGATTTTGTTTTTTATTACACAAGGAGTGTAGTACTGTTCATGGACCCAATCAAAAGGGAAGCCTGTGTATTTTGAAAAGTGCTATAAAGTTATTTATGGTAACCTGATAGGCAGTAAAACCTGATAGGCAGTAAGGCCCTCATTGTCATGATACCCTCCCAATCCAGCTTGCTTCATAAGAAGTGTCATCAAACCAGACAATGGTTCAGGAGTGTTACAGGTGCCACATGAACCCAGGGAAGTTTCTTCGGCTGCTCAGGGAAAAATAGAGAATGCTCAGCTGGATCCTATCAAACCTAACTCCTTTAAGACAGCTGCACCTTGTATGTAATCAAGAGGCTTAAAAAGAAATAGCAAGTTTCCTTTCAAAGAAAAAAGAGACAGGGAAGTCGTTAGGTAAAGGAAACTATGAAGGTACTTCTCCTGGACTTCTAGGGACTGGGTTGTGTCTATCTTGGTGAAGTAATGAGGAAAATCTAAAAACCGTTTTATTTCTGTTTACCGCTGATGATTTAAATAATTAACAGAAAGTTGGGAGAGAGGGGGCTGGACTCTTCTCCCCTCCCCCATCTCAGAACAATACATGTGAAAGTTTCTTGGAGGAAGAAAGACTTGAACCGGACTATGGTAGCTTGAGAGATGTAGGTAGATTGTATGTGTCTTGTAGATTTAAAAATGGTTATAACCTTTGTCACAGTCACATCACTGAATCCTTCTGAGAACAGGACAAACTTGTATTCATTTGCTTATAGTTAGCTTATTTGTATATTTTTATTTTAAGGGAAAACACTGTTTTTTCTTCCACTCTCTTCTTGAGAAAGATGTCTCTTCCACTTTCGTGGAATATTGCTGCCAACGTTATAGCCTCTTGGGGCTATTTCTTGGATATTTAGCCTCCTGAGGAGAGCTAGCCTTACAGTTTTATACGCATGTTTTTTCCCACTAGAAGTGAGTCACTGATCCCTGCAGTCTCATTACCAGACACAGGAGGCTCCTAATATTATGATCTGGAGTGAGAGGTTTTTGGCTTGATGCATTATTAATCTGTGGGGCCCCTGCAGGGTGTAAGATATAGTGCATGGGCTTGCAGAGATAGTGATATGATAGGAGACCTCCTCAGTTAGGGTGGCTAGATGTCCTGGTTTTATAGGGACAGTCCCGATATTCAGGGCTTTGTATTATATAGGCACCTATTGTCCCACCTTCCCTGTGCAAGAAACAGTTGTTGCATGAAATGATCTGTTGCTTTGCTTGTATTTTTGTGGTCTAGTGCCTTGACACCATTTTAGATAACTGTTTCTTTGCTCCATGCAAAGACTACACTTTATGATCATTTCATTAGTGTATTCTAGACTCTTGAAAGACCCCTTCCCATACTATTCAGCTTTGTGACTGTCAATGGAAGCTTTCGGGTAACATCCACATGTGGACCACTATGTTGTGGTTTGGTGTTCAGGTACCTTTTGAACTGGTGCAGCTGCAATACTCATGGCTTCTTACCTGCACATAGGAAAAGTCATTGTAGATCAGTAGTGGGCAAACTATGGCCCGTGGGCTTTGGATCCGGCCCGCGGGATTGCCCCCTGTGGCGCTGCGGGCCCCGCACCGCTCTCAGCAGCGGCCGGCCCAACGTCCCTGTGGCCCCCAGGCCCTTGCCTCCAGGCACCGCACCCTGCAGCTCCCAGTGGCCAGGAACGGGGAACCACGGCCAATGGGAGGTACCTGGAGGCGCGGCAAGGGCAGCGCACACGGAGCCCTCTGCCCCCCCCAGGGGCCTCAGCGCTTCCTGGAGCGGTGCGGGGCCGGGGACAGGGCAGGCATGCAGGGAGCCTGCCCTGGCCCCAGTGCGTGCAGCTGCCACCGTGGGGCCCGAACCCCTCCTGCCCCCTGCCCCCCCAATTCCCTGCCCTAAGCCCCCTGCCTGCACTACGCACCCCTCCTGCACCCCAACTCCCTGCCCTGAGCCCCCTGCTGCACCCTGCACCCCTGTGTACCCCAACCCCCTAGCCCCCTCCCGCAGTCTGCACTCCTCCTGCACCCCTGCCCTGATCCCCCTCCTGCACTCCACACCCCTTCTGCACCTCAACCCCCTGCCCTCAGCCCCCTCGTACACTCCACACCCCTCCTCTGCCCCAATTGCTTGCCCTGAGCCCCTTCCTGCACACCGCACCCCCTCCCACATCCCACACTCCCTCCTGCACCCCAACCCCCTGCCCCGGCCCTGCATACAATTTCTCCACCCAGATGTGGCCCTCAGCCCAAAAAGTTTACCCACTCTGTTGTAGATGGTCTCGTTCAGTCTGACCTGAACTAAAGTTCTGCTCTAATGCTTATAGTGTGAATTAATGAATGCAAAGTGTTGCAAGTTCGAGGAATTCTAGGCCAGAGGTGAGGCACCAAATTGCAGTTTTTACAATGGATGTGAGATAGAAAAATGTCAAGGGAACAGGGTATGTCTCACTCCCTGTCTTCTCTCAATCATATACAGATACCCTGAGGTACCTGTCATGAGTGTTGCCACAGGGATCATCCAGTAGAGGGAACTTCTTCTTAAACACTATTTAACAAAACAAAACAAAAACAAAAAACAACAACCTACAGGTGGCAATTTCTTACTTTGAGCTATTTAAATGCAGTGCTTCATTCTCCAGTGCTGCAGATTGTGTAGATATTACAAGCACTGTATTCACTTACATACAAGAAATGGAACAAATAAAACTTGTAGCATGCAATGAATCTGTAAGGCTGGTTGCTGCAGAATACTGAGCCACTTTGGGTTTATTAAAGGGGTGTACATTTGATCACTGATACTGCTACTCCTTTGATGCAAACTAGTAACTATTTTAGGCTCTCCTATCGTGTTCATCACCATAATAACAGAATGTTTCAGTATATTTACAGATGGTGAACTGCAGAAGAAAGAGGTGAAGTGACTTGCAGAAGATTACAAGAAGGTTGTGGCAGAGCCAGGAATCTAACACGCATCTTGTGGTCTATAGTCCACTGCCTTAATGGCAAGACTGCCTCAAATCTTGTGTAATCCTAGAGCATATCTCAGTTCCAGGATTGTGAGGGGAATATTTTCCCCTATGTACAACATTAAACAACTGGTGCAGTGGGCTATGAAAGGTTTTCACTTTCCTCTGAGGTATCAGCCATTGTTGGGACAGGATATGGGTCTTGATAGGCCACTTATCTACAATGTATGATCCTAGATGGACCAATGAGCTTCCCTGATCTTGTAGGCTATGTAATCATTTGCTCCTCAGAACCCACTCCTACTGTGATACAAAACATCTAAATACTTCCTGTGTAGGCTTGGTCAAGTCATTTCACCTCTCTGTCCCTCAGTTCTCCCACCTGAAGAAATGGGAATGACACTTTGTGCTTAACATTTTTCATTTATTGATTTATTTGTGTAATTTCAGAATTTTAAATAATGAATAAAAGAAAATATATACTAGAACGTGTCCCCTCCCTCTTCTACACCCTTAGCCTAATGTTTGTCTAAAACCGTAAGCTGTTCATACACAGATCATGTCTTCCTTTGTTTGTACAGTGGCTAGCACACAGGGTTCTGCTCCTAATTAGGGTCTGTGGCTGCTGCTTTACTATACATATTAATAAATTGTACAGTAAAATTATTTTAAAGTTGGAAGTAATATAGTGTACACCAAATTGAGCAAGGAGACTCATTGTTTGTGTAAAGTCCTATCTCCCCTCCCCCCCATGTTCTTTTCTTAATCATGCCAGATATGTCTCGCTAGTATTTTGTAAGCTCTGGAGTCACAGTCTGTGTCTTTAGTCTCTATGTGACATGTCATACACATCTACTGTGATATACAACTGTTAATCATCTGCATAGGAAAGAAGTGGTTAATATACTTACACAGTAAATCAAGAACTAGGTTCAATCCTCAGCTCCTACAGTTTTCCTATAGTATGACACCTTATGCAAGTTGTTTAGACTTCAGTCCTGCAAACTGCTCCATGTGAGTGGACTCAATCAGCACCATCTTACAAGATAATAAGAGGTGTTTTTTCATCCTTACCACACCGCTACATGTTAGAGATGAGTATTCTCCAAGAGTCTTCTGGGAGAGTGTTGAGGAAGAAACTGCTTATATTTGGTAGGTTGGGGGTATTCATGATCTATGAGGAAACATGTATGTGCTCTTTTTATTTAAAAAGGAGAAAAAAATTACAACCCTGGATCTGAACAACATCCAGATTTTGGGGTAGTTTAGGTGAGGATCAGGACTTCAGGGCTAGGGACAATCTCTAATTGTGTCTTCAGAAATTCCAAACTATAAACTTAAAATCCAGGACTCTACATATTTCCCTATATCCAAGTACTCAAATCATAGACTTTTCAAGAGTTGTGGCAATGTATTCTTGCATATCTGAGAATATAACAGAGCCTGTAATGTTAGTATGTTTTTTTTAAAAAAAACACTAACTAATGGAGCTATATAGACAATATTTATGTGAATGATGACATTGTTTCTTGTACCATCACAGTTTCAAAGAACATATGAGTCTCTACGAAACGTGTCTAGTAAATCTGAACTACAGAAAACCTACCAGAAGCTTGGGAAAGATCTGGAAAATCTAGATTATTTGGCCTACAGACGTCAACAGGTAAGAATATGGAAACTTAGTGGTAGGGCACAGAATCTCTGGGTAGAGAAAGATTTTATCTATGGGTAACAGATCATGTGTGCCATCATTCAGGGAGACAAATTGATATGTTCTCTGTTTTATATTAAATATGAGTAACCTTGTATTAGGTGGCTTTGGGTTTCAGCATAAGTCTGTTCCACTTCCAGAATTGACACAGAGAAGGGGGTAGGATTTAGCAGGGACATCAAGCATCCAAAGGGTGTAAGGTGCAACTATAACACAATAAGTAGTGCATATAGATTAATGTAGTTTGGCAAAGTCACTGTGACTACTCATGAAAATAAGGTTCTGACAGGGAAGCTACAGAAAACTCCAGGCTTCCATGGAACACCTCAGAGCCTTCTGCAGTTATTACAGCACAAAATCTTCTTATATACCACCTGACATGAAAAAGAAACAAAATAGTTTGCTAAGACAGAACGGTAATTTGGTATCATGTGGAAAACATGAGTGCTGTATACTTGATAATAAAGTTTATGTTTGATAATAAAGTGATTTAAGTTCTGACCTGCACCCCTAGAAGTTAATGGTATCAAATCTTCATGTACTGCTCCACATAAACAGTTAATGTATTTTAAATTCAAAATCTCAAATTAATAAAAAAAATAATTTTCAAGATTAGATCCCATATGACTTAAATTGGACTACTCACATGCTTTATATCAATCATGTGCAAGTGATTGCAGGATCAAGGTCAAAGTCAATTGTTAAACTGTATATAGAGCTATTTTCTATAACCTTTCCATGACTGATTTAGAAACTTTAGTTTTCATAATAGCTTCTGTAGTTTTGTTCATATTTTTGCAACCTTTTAAAATTGTTCTGAGCTTTTTATATTTGCTAATATATTGAAGGAGTGGGATAATGGTTTTATTTTAGTTCTGATCTTTTAATGTTACCACTAGGTGTCAGCGTTGTCAAATTTACTTCCTGACTTGTTTCAGGGAAAATCAGTTACAGTATGCGTTTAAATAAGAAAATTGATTAGATTGTTTAAAATTTAGGAAAAGGTTCAGAGGCTGATTGTATCTGAAAACATGAATAACTTGTTCTTGTGTTGGGCAAGGCAAGGAGCAAGTTGCCTGGGTGTGTTTCACTATGATAATAGATGGTGTTTCCTGGTTTGACAAAACAGAAATGTTCACAAAATTGTATTGATTTTGACAATTTTCCATGAAAGAGATTTCAAAACAAACTGTGTGTGTTGGGAAAAATTTGACTTTGGAATTTTGAAATTTTGTTTCAAATTTAAGTTTTTTTCATGTTTATATTTTTGACATTTTATGACATGGTAGTAGTAGTACTGTCAAACTGTTCCATTTCAAAACAAACAGAACACACTTGATCTAGAAAAGATGTTCATTCAGTACCTGCCGCCTTTAATGACTTTAAAAATAAAAATAAATAGAAATATTTCAACTACTACTGACATGTCATAATGACATAAAATAGTAGTAGTGCATAAAATGCACAACTGACATGTCATGAAATAATGTAAAAATATAAAAACTGAGAACACACAATCCACAACACATTTTTCCCAAAACAAAATTTTGATATTTTTTCTAATTGAGAATGAAAAATTTTAAAATGTCAGAATCTCACATGAGATGGAAATCCTGAGTTTTGACCAGCTGTAGTGAGATGGTATACAGATTTTGTGCCCCTTTGATATAAGGCCACTCAATAGCTAGAAGGTGCGATTTCTAGTAATGAATAGCATCTGTTTCCACTTCTAATGGGTTTTCTATCTGATCTCATAATTTATGTTGAGCATAATAAAGGTCTCATCTGTAAGGGCTCAGGGAGCATATCTGAGTGAGATGAGTGTCTATAGAATTGGCACCTTCAGAGTAGAACTGCACTTTAATTGCAATTATCTCTTTACTCTGAATTCTCACTCTTTGCCTTGCAAAGTTCCATTTAATGTCACATAATAAATCCCTCATTCCCTAGCAGACTCTTTAGTTACACACTTCATTTCTCCTTGGGTTGGCATTTGGTTTCTCTGCTTCTCTTCTATTCACAGACCCTGGTTTACTCTTGCATTTCCTGGAATCTCGCCACAATCTCTGGTCTCATTAGTGTGTATTTCCAAAACATTTTGAGACTGTCTTGCCACCCTTGCCCATCAGTCTGGGCCACAAGCATCTCCTCAATATCCTTTCCTGCTATCTTTCATCTCTACATTTAATTTCCTTCTCCAAAACTACGTCTCTTATTAAAGATATTAGTCATAAAATGTGTTCCTCGTTTCAATCGGAGAAGACCATTGCATAAAGGGTGAGGGTGTACATTGCACCCCTTTACCGAGCACGTCAAAGATTTTGTCCATATTTGTACATTTGAGTTCTGTATTTTGCTTATGCTACTGCTGAACCAGTTTCCATCAGCCAATATAACATAAGTCTTGGTAGGATTTACAGGAGAACCTGCAGAGTGAGAGCTGTCTAATCTCCTACCCACAGAATACACTTTGATTGCTTTTTGCCTGGAAAATAGAATAGTCTATTTGGGAAGAGGCTGCCATTAGAAATCAGACCAAACCCCACAAGTTCAGACCTGATCAGAATCTGAACTTCTTCACATTTAAGTGATATTTGAATCTAGTTTTCCAGTTCAGGCCCACTTCTAATAGCTAACAGTTTATATATCACTCTTAGTGCTGTAAAACAACACCCAGTCCTGTTGGTAAGATACTGATTCACTGATTCTATTGCGGGAATGAACCAGAAGTTCTCTACAATATGGAAATTAATCTTCATGAGGTACAATAACACAGAAGTACTTTCACAGTGAGAGTGATGAATCTTTCTTTTAAATTTGCTTTTTTTTGGTCTGCTTCTGTCCTTATTTCTTAGGAGTGAGAAAACCAGAGAAGACCTGTAATTGCAATATAGAAATGGAAACAATGATTTTGAAGTTTTTAGGAGAGATACTAAAAAACAGCTTGTTTTAAGAGGACATTTTAATGTCATTTTTTTTTAAACTGCCATTGACCAAACTACTTATGGTGCGATCACAAGGGTAGATAAAGATCAGGGTGCTAAGGTCTCTTAAGTGACATTTTCTTCAGAATCAATCAGAATGTCTTCCACTTCAGGGTAGCTCTCTCTAAAGAGTTGATTACCTCTGTCAGCAGTGGATCTGGGAATTCCTCTTTGGCTTACAATAACTAAGACAGACAAAACTTTTGGCATGTGCCAGCTCAGCCTTTCCTCAGTGCTTTCAGAATCTCCAATTTTGCAAACAGGGCTGAGCTTTGTCAAAGGAGCTGGTATGTGTGTCACTTTCTTCTCTGACACAATACTGGCCAGACAATCTAACTTCTTTGATCATTTCAGGGAGGGAGGTTGCTTTCTGCAGCAGGAGGCATTTGGGTTTGAGACTGCGGGAAGGCAGTTCAGGTTCATTAGCTGCCTTCCTACAGTGTAGCCTGAAGAGAAGGAAGGGTCTCCCAAATGCTGTGTTAAGTGTGGAATAAGTGTGAATGTCTCAGGAAATTTTGTAAGCATTCACCCTCTCTTTTATCGGACCCTGTTCCTACCAATGGTTCACTGGCCAATAATAGTGCAAGATCATTTTGTCACATGCAAATACAAATGGATATTATGTATTAAATTCAGTGGTACCTAGTATTTGTCAGATTGAAATATTATTGCAGCAGTTGATGTTCTTAATGTTAGTAATGCCTTTAGCATGCCTGTAGCACTGTTGGCTCAAATTTAAAGGAAGTTCTGTTTCTGCTCTTACGTCTCCGGTAATAGTGTAACATAACAGCTGACAACAGAACTTTAAAACGTAAAAAAAAAAAAAAAAAAAAATCACACCATTCCGATATAGCTGTTAAGTTACTTGTTTGATTTTTCATTGTATGCCCTCAGGCTAATATGCCAGGAAAGAGCTTTTAAGATATATATAGAAAGAGAGTTAATTTATGATGAATTATTTAAATATGCAATTTTTATTCTTCATATCATGCACTGTCCATTCATATATAAAGAAAGGTTTAAAAAAGGTTTCAGATAAAACTTGAAGCATTAATTATTACAGGAGATAATTTATAGCACACAGTAAATTACTTTGTGGGAAATAATACTTCCAGAAGATGGAGCAACACTGTCAAATTGTTCTTCATTTTTGTCTTGGTTCCAGAGAAGTGCATGATGTGCAGCACTATATATGTTTTTATGTGCAAACAGGCCAATTTACTTCTTAAAATGCTTAATTTTAGACTGAAGGTACGCTGTAAAACTCAAACAATAGGAACAGTTTACCTTAGTCTTGAGATCCAGTATTTCTATTTGTTTAAAGAGAATAAACATACATTTTTCACTCTGCTTTTTCAGATGCATTCAGGTGAGGGGCAGACATCAAAAGATTCTGCACCTAGAACTGGGGCCAAATTTTCAAAAGAACTCAGCCCCCAATTGCTTTATATATGGCTTTGGTGATAGTATTATTGTGATATGCCCATTTCTGGGGTCAACACTCTAAAGAGGATATTGAAAAATTGGAGCGGATTCAAAGCAGAAGTACAAAAATAATTTGCCACCAGGAAAACAGGCATTACGATAAGACTTAAGGAGCTCAATCTCTTCAGCTTCTTGATAGAAGGTTAAGACTTAAAAATATCTACAAGGGAAAGGGGAACCTGATACTAGGGGACTCTTTAATCTAGCAGACAAAGGCATAACAAGATCAAATGGCTAGGAGTTGGAAGTTAAAAAAGTTCAAACTGGAAATCAAGACCGTTTTAACAGTGGGGGTAACTAACCATTGGAACATCTTAGTAAGGGACTTTAAATCAAGACTGGATGTCTTTCTAAAAGTTATGTACAAACACAAGTTAATTGGCTAGATGCTGGAGTCACTGGGTGAAATTCTGTGGCCTGTGCTATCCAAGAGCCTGAAATGGAGTCCAGCCACTGCATAATTGTGGGGACCCTAAACACACT